GAAATCCAGTTTGCGATATCTATATATTTAGGGTTGTCTCGTAGAGATAAGAGTTTTCAATCTATATGAAAAAAAATTGGATCCAATAACTATTTCTATGTATTTTATTTGTTATAAAAAAAATTAATTAATACATATTTTATTACCCTAATCATAATATGAAGATAATAAAATCTGATAATATAATATTCCTATAAAATGGTAAAATTAATGAGAGTAAAAAATATTAAAATATTAATTTTATTATAAAAGAGATATAAGATGATGCTTGTTTATCATTTCTTATTCGAGAGTTTATTATTTCTTAAATCATGAAACAAATGGATGAGGGTAGATAATAAAATAATATTAATAAACTCCCACGTGATATTGATGTAATTACTAATAGCTTTGTAAAATAACTATAATCGATAGTTTTAAGAAGATCTCAAAGAGAAAGGAGACGTATAATTTCTAATGATTATATGATATATCTATATGAATAAATTACAATATAGGAATCAAAAGGGATCCCTTATGATTTTCACAAGTCATGTAAAACATGTTAGTTATAGGTGCCCTGCAAGCCAATCACGTGAGTGATAGCTTGTGTGATACGCTACATAATTTCTTTCGATTAATACTAATAATGATATTTTTCTATTTTATTCGGCTAATGATATATTTATTACTAGAGTTAAAAGATTCAGTCAAAGTCATTATCCTAAGAATAACTTAGAAAAAAATTAGAAATCTAGTACATGCTCAAGCATATATGAGACCAGATATTAGTTATATAGTTGAAATGTTGGGTAGATACTAGAGCAACACATGAAAGGAACATTGAACATAAAGAAATTGATGAGATATTTATAGAAAATGAAAGATCACATGCTTACATACACACACAGGAGATTAGATTAACTTGAAGTGACATGATATTCAGATGTTGATTTTATAAATTATATTGACAATAGAAAATCTACTTCAGGATTTATATCTATATTAGTTGGAGGGAAAATTTCTTGAAAAAGCGTAAAATAATCGCTTATTGCATCATCAATAATAAAAGCTAAATTTATGGTATGATGTCACAAATTAAGCTTCATGACTGTGAAATTTTATCTCAAAACTTGGTATGGTCAATTCAATTGTTAGATCACTAAAGATATTTTGTGATAATACTATATAGCGGGTTTATTATCTAAGAATGACAAATACTTTAGTAGTTTTAAGCATATCAAAATAAAATACTTAGAAGTTAGAGAAAAAAAATTAAAAATAAATATCAATTGAGAACCTAAGTACTATCTCGATGAGTGCTAATCTAAGCCTTACAACATGAAGTATTTAAAGAATATATTTTTAGAATGGAGCTTGTGAGCAACTTATGATGCATGTTTAAGTAGGTACTATTATTATTATTATTATTTACTTAATTAAATATTTATTTCTATTTTCCTATTTATATTTATATATATGCATATTATAATTAATATAATAACATGATTATCTTAACAAGATAAATTAAAAAAGGTAATTATAAATTATTATCTACTTCATTCTTTAGTTATGCACTCTTGTATTGACCGAAGACTTTCACTTTTGGCTATCTTGATGAGAAGCTCGTTGACACCGGTCTTATGAAGTTCTCTAGCCTCTGCCCTTTAGTCTTGTCTCGGTACTTGGAGTTTTGCCTCTGTATTCTCTATCTCCTCGATCCCTTTCATTACCAAGCGTTTTTCCTCTATGAGAATATAGGATCGATGACTTCACGAAAGTCCCACCTCTGCGGTACCATGGTGCTGCCATGCCCATGGCCCTACTCTCCGTTCTTTTTTTCGTGATCGGTAGATCTGCCTCTATGACACTATGATACATCTCCGAGTCCATATTCATTCTAATTGATGCTTTGTTCTGGGTAGCTAAGTCCCTCTAGATTCGTCGTCGCTTCCTCGTCCCTTTTGACCCCTTGCTTCAACACTTCTGTGTTCTCCAAGCAATTCCCCTTGGTCGATAGAAAAACAAATTGTAACTCCCATACATGGGCTCTATTTTCATATTGTAAGGTTTGCACCAATTCTGTTCTCCTTAGCTTACGTGGTAGCAATGTTCGTTTACTCAACCTTATCCTATGATAAAAACTAACCATATTGTAGTATATATAAGAGAGTATAATATACCACTATGACTGACATTGATAGTTAGACTTAATATAGTATTATTGTGTTTATTAGATTTATTGGTCTGTTTTATAAAATTTGTATATAGGTTGTAAAATATTTTTCAAAATTTTTAGAATCTAATTTAGTAAAATTATTTTTTAATAAAATTTTATTTTTAATTTTTTTATGTCTTACCAATGGACAAGTGAGAGAATATTAGATTATGTATTATGTTTGATTTTGTATGATATATTATAAATCTGATTAGATTCTAATTACAATTATCGATTAATAAAAGAAAATTTTGATTATAATAATATTATTTACGAGGGACTGAATACATAAGATAAGAGAGATTGAATGCAAATCTAGTTTTCTTTGTATATTGATATTTGCGCTCGTAGATTAGATAAAGATTTTTTGAATGATATTGAAAGATACACATCGAAATTTTATTCTATGATTATTTGATTTCAATTCTTAATATTAAGATTATTTCGTATACGATTTTTATACACAACTGACATGTGTAAGTTGTGATGAGTTAGCAATTGTTATGATAGATTTCGGATGGAAGAAAGTGAAGATGTGTGTGTCATGTTTTGGGATCTGTCTAATTGTATCAGAATAAACAGATGCAAATTCAATTACGACCTCAAAACGAGAGGCGTTCCCTTCACATGTTCGTCTCGGTCGGCATCAAACAGTGCCTCGACCCACAGATTAATTTGCGAAGCTTTGGGAGCCACCATCTCATAGAAGTCGAGCAGGCTAAGGAAGATGCACATGGAATGCTGCAGCGTCTACCGGAGATGATGATGAAAATGGAGATGGAGGTGTCTCTCGAGGACAGAGCTCGCTGAGGTCGCTGTTCTGATGGGAACATGGCAGCTAACCAAATAGATGGCGGTCATTCTTGGCTACCACGTGATATCGTGCTCAGGAAGTCGACAGGTTTCATTTCTTCTGGGTGCGGAAGCCATGCGCATAGGAGGGATCGAAGAGGACGGTATCACGTCGATGATGGTTGATGGGGACATCTTTAAGATTCCTTCTCTTCTCCTGATTTTTCGTCACAAGTTCATCTGAGCCGTCCAAATTACCACACTGTTTCACCCTTTCGACGCATCCAGCCTCAGGTTTGCGTCTCAGAGCTTGGAAAGCAGACAGATGAGGAGAGGCATGACCAAGAGAAACAGGAAAGAAAGAACCTGATGCTTACTGGGTTATAATAGCATATGATTGCCACGGGATGAGATCCTGAGCTAAGAAAGGTGGCCTTGGGAAGAGGATGACAACTCATACTATACGTAAGATTAAATTGGGGATTGGGAGCCGTTATAATATGGATTAATTATATATTTTTAATTAGTTATTTTTAATATTTTGATCTTTATATTTTTAAAAATTATATTAAATTTTTTTATATTTATAAAAATAAAATATTTAATCTTATTTATCTTTAATTAAAATACCGTAAGTACTCAATGATAAACCCAAATGATAAATCTTACGGTATTTTCGTTAGCAGAGTCGATAGTATAAGAAGAAACGAGATTAGATGTTTTATCTTTGTATAAGTATAGAAATCTCAACATAACTTTTGAAAGTATAAGGATTAAAATATTAAAGATAATTAATTATAAGGATAATCTGTAATTAATTCGTATAATATCCACCTCCTGGGTCCAAATGGGCATGTGATCGACTAATAATGTAGGGTCCAAAAGATTATTATTGCTACCGTCCATGATGCTCATCCCCACCAAATCATGTAATGTTGATGGGTGTCGTTATGTCAATTAGACGAAGATTGTCCATACATGATGGATGAAGTCGATTTCACCTTCCTCACAAACATGAGAAAGAGATATTTAAATCAAGGGAGATAGTATAGTCTTTCCAACATTTTTCTTCCGATATTTAAATCAATATTCCTCTTCTAATGCTTAAGTCAGGAGATCCTTTAGTAAAGAAAGCCTCGAGCTTACCACTCTAGGAAAAGAGAGTGGAGATAGTTAAGAAAGTAGAGGTGGAGTTCTCAATTCTTGCATAATTATATGTATGTGTTCTTGCAATTGTATCGATTAATAATTTATGTGTGTGTTTTTGGAATTGTATCAATTCCCATATAGAGTTGAATATTTATAATACTGGGATGATGATATTGGCCACTCCAGACGAAAGCAGATGGAAATTTAGCACACCTAATTTGAACTCGAGATCAGTATCAAAGCTCACATTCAGATTCGATCACATGTTCATGTTTCTCTTTCTCTACATGGGTTTCAGAAGTGTCGAGGAGGAGTGTCTGATGGGTAGGAGAAAGACCAGCTGCTACAGTCTGAACTTTCCCCCCTCCGTTGTTGAGTTATCAGTGTAAAGCTCAAGTCACAGTATTCTTCTCTGGTCTTCCATTTACCCTACCAAACAATATCATACCGAAGCAGCCCAAACGAACGAGAGTAACCAAACAGGAGATGTGACATCAAATGCATAGGCCGAATAAGATGAAGTTTATATATGAGTGATTCTGGTCTCTGCGACGCAGTGGAGAACCAGGCTGAGGGCCTTTGTTCTTTAGAACGACTTGCTCTAGTGGGGCTCGTCACAGGTCATCTCTGTAAATGTATGACGAAAGGGACAAGGCCACATGAACCCAGTCAGATTGATAATTCATTCCTCTCCCTCCTTTATAAACTTGCTGCTGTTAACTATGCAACGTTTACTGCTCTCTCTCTCTCTCTCTCTCTCTCTCTCTCTCTCTCTCTTTCATATACACACACACACACACTACAGTATAGGATGCTGCTCTCTTAACCTATAGCAGCAGCATGGCTAACATACCACCATCCTTCTTCTGGGAAACTTCTAAGGCGGTCTCGGTTGGTAGGACAAAGAATAAGCCACGAAACCAAGCTAATATAGTGGTGTTACGATGCACTCAACATCTCATCTCTTCTCCCAAGGGGTCAATGGCATCCCGCTTAATCTACAAACCTTTCTACTCTGCAGTCAAAACTTGAGGCACCGACCCCCCGCCCCCTTTGATTCTTTCTTTAGATCGCAGATCAGGATAATAGAAGGAAGGAAGGAAGGAAGGAAGAAATAGGAAAAGAAGATACTAATATCAGGGGAATAGTAGCCCTCCTGCTGCTGCTGCTGCTGCTGCTATCACTTTTAGTTGGGGTTTCTTTTGAGGATGGAGTTCACGCATGGAAGAAGAAATAGGTTTTCCATCACCGAGAAAGAAGAGAAAGGGGAAGATTGCAGATATGCTGCTTTCGTACCTTCCCCTTCTTCCTCCTCGTCGCCATCGTCCTCCTCCGCTCCTTTCAGGCGGAACGACGGCTCCTCGGCCAACGGCGACAACCTTTTTGTGGAGAAGGAGCACATGTTCGACAAGGTGGTAACGCCAAGCGACGTCGGCAAGCTAAACCGGCTGGTGATCCCGAAGCAACACGCCGAGAGGTACTTCCCGCTGGACGCGTCGGCCAACGAGAAGGGGCTGCTGCTCAGCTTCGAGGACCGCACCGGCAAATCTTGGCGCTTCAGGTACTCCTACTGGAACAGCAGCCAGAGCTACGTGATGACCAAGGGATGGAGCCGGTTCGTCAAGGAGAAGCGGCTCGACGCCGGGGACACCGTCTCCTTCAGTCGTGGCGTTGGCGACTCCGGTCAACGCAATCTTTACATCGACTGGAAGCGGCGGCCGGAGAACCACGACCCGGCCCGGATGCCCCGCGTTCCTCTCCCGGCCGTATCCTTTGTGCGGTCGGTAGGACCGTGGGGCGGTCACCTCGTCATGCCACCGGCGTCGGCGTACGACCACCGCCGCGAAAGCTATGGATACAGTGTCGCGAGCCCGAGTGCTATCGGGAGACAGCTTCTTTTCTTTCGTTCCCCAGAGACCGGGCCGCCACCCGTGAAGGTGCAACCCAGTGGTAGTGGCGGCCTGTCCATGGTTCTTGAACCGATGCCGGAGGTCCACAGCCAGGCGACGGCCAAGCGTGTAAGGCTATTCGGAGTCAACCTTGTCCGTCCCGAATCAGAAGGCGACGCCGGCGGCGGCGACGGCGGCGGCGGCGAATCTACATCATCTTGCCTGTTACCATCGCAAGAAACATCTGCTCTCCATCTCCTCCGATTTCAGCATGGCAGCGTCGAGTCCTCGTTGGCATCATCGTCCTCGATGAGCAAGGAGCAGCATTCGTCGTTGGATCTTGACCTATGAGGAGGAAGGACCCTGCGAGGGAGCATATTGCCATTCACATCCTGATCAATTGGGATGGAAATCGAACCCGAATAGAATGAAAGTTTTGGAGGTTCTTTCTTTAATCTTGTGCTTCTCTTTTACTCTTAAAAACGGAAGAACGGATGGGTGCATCCAAATCAAGAGCTGGTTTAATCCTCCATAATCTTCTCTTAAAAGTGTAAATACGCTGGAAGATTCAAAGGCTCGTAAGCCCACAACATAGGATTCTTTTGCTATAAACTCTCATGTCTTTGTTGATCTTCCTTTGAATTGGAGTTTATTCCAACTCCTAAGCCAGGTTTTAACAGCGTCGTCTCTCTCAGAAGATTCCAAACTAGTCGATTCGGCATTCCTTAAAATGGAGGACAGACAGTTCTGGAGCAAATAGAGGTCAGATCGAAATCCTTCTCTGTCCATTTTCCTATCTTGCATTTACCGGGATTACTTTTTCGTCTGCTGTGGCAGCGTTACAATACTTTCATCCATGCACTATGGGTAGCTTAGGACACGACTCCATACACCTGCATATGTTTTCTTCCTTCCCTTCCTTTTAGCTGAATGTCTTGTAGAACTTGTGTCACCGTAGGAAGTTGCAGAAGGATGAATTACCTGTTCCTCATTTAATTAAAGGCTGTTAAAGTTGGATTATCTTTGCTTTTGCTGCAAATTTATTGAGTTCTACCTGTTGATATATGTACACAAAGGTGCGATGTTCTCCATAGTTTCATGCTTTTACTGGATTATTAATCTTCTTACTCCCAAAATTAAACGGAGAAGTTCATATGATTTACATGTAAATGAAACTTTGAAGGCAAAAATAATCTACATGTTTAGTAGCTTTATCCCAATCTTTTCCCTACAAGTATTTCGTTGTCTCTAGCAATTTTCACTCAAAAATTGCTCCTTACAATTTTCATTAGAAGAAAATCTCCTTATATGTTCCGTTTAAAATGTTAATTAGTAATTAACTAGCCATTAATGCTTCCAATCTCGTGAAGGTTAATTAGTAATTAATCTGATTGAAAGCTGGTATTGTTCTATCAGTCATGCCATGTTCATTCATTGCTGATGCTACAAGAGAGTGACATTTATATCACTTTACCGTAATGCTACAGACTGGTCCCATGAAACTCTTCCACCGAAAGCAAGGTTAGAAAGACAACAACATGGCTACTAACATTTTATTTCATTTCTCTGGACTATGATAAGATCGTAATTGGCTCCTACTTGAACAAAGAGATACCTTCTTTTAGTTTTACATGGTTGTTCACATGAGTACATCATCATGCAGTGATGAATAGCTTGTGCTTATCGACGCAGAATAAAACAAGGTTCATTCATGCATATTACATAGGTCTTCTCATTGTTTCTTCGGAAAATGCTAGTTATGACTTGGAAAATTTTGCGCTTGCGATACCGATGTTGATTAAGGAATAACTCATTGTCAATTTGTCTAGTACAGTGTCGGATACATACCTAAGTATTTGAAGAATTTGTGCGGTATTCGTGTTGATTAATGTTATATTGGTCATGAACATATAGATTTTAGGTTTGGCATTGTACGTAATCAATTCACTTACTTTCAAATGGTCGTACTTTGATATGCTAATCGAGCTTTATATAGGTACTTTTTCTAAGTCTTATTTATTTGGTCATCTTGGCATGCTAGTTTTATTTAGGGCATCTCTCAACATGCCATGGCGGAATCCCTTTGCTTTTGCAACATCAATGAATTTTGCTCACATGATAGCATACTGTGAAACTAATTAAGATGCAATCCTTGCATATAGAATGGACATGTTATTGATTGATCACACATGTTATTGATCTGATTTGAAGACGTCTATTGAGGGGGAAGAATTGCTATTATTGTACTATGTATCAAGATGAATGAGCATGGACATGACAATAGGTTTGGCCTTTTGAATTTGAGATGATAATTAGCAACTTTAGATAGGACAGCCATTGAATCAGTCTTCTTTTGTCTTGATCACAAGATCACAAAAAATGGTCATGTAGTTTGCAGAAAACAACACATTGGCACAGTTGAAAAACTTGTAAATGCATATGTAACCTAAAGATATGATAATAGCAGCGATGATGTCTATTACAATATTATATTTTTCATAGACCTTTTAGATAGCTGAATGGTATTGCTATTGGTCATGAATTATGACTCCATCTCTGAGGCATTGCTATTGGTGAACCAGTTGAGTATGTATGTTTGGGCAACGAACATCATCCGTATTGCTAATTGTCACAGCATGAGAAATAGGCTATTCTTCTATGGTTAAAGAACTTGCAATTTATAGAGATTAAAGCTTTGGGGCCATAATGGTGTCAATTTCATTTATCACTTTGGATTAGAGTGATTCCAATTCCCTCAGATAAGACTCCTATTGTTCAGTTTGATGTTTGCACTCCTATAAACTATTCTCACTAATAAGCATCATAATCAAGTGTCTTAGTTTTCTAACTAGCAATTTACTTATATCTTTTGGATATCATCAGCCTCTTCTTGAAGTGTCCGTATAAACTGTTGCAATTCAACGTATGTTGGATGTAAGCTTTCCTTATGGTTCATCTATTGAATTCTTTCCTTGTGTACATATGCTTGTGCATTTTCTGCTACTACTGCACTCGGCCAACAATGAGTTCCTCTCTCATGTTTGGTTTACGTGCACTGAATACTAACCCAAATTTTAAAGAGAAAGGAATTAGAAATTTAAATAAATAAAGTACATATATATATGTATATATTCTCTTTTATGTATGCATTCGTGGCATTAAAGAAATGATGAAGATGAGAGTTGTACAATGTGCATTTGAGCAAATCTGTTCCAGTAATCAAAACAATTTAGTTTAGTTGCAGTAAGAAGCTGATTTGATGTTGTTGTTTTATTTTTATTTTACATTTTTGAAATACAAATGTGGCAAGCATAATTGGCTAAAAACAAGCACTTGATTTTTATTTGCTCAGGCTTATAAGACTTACAAGTTTCTTTTGTGTTCCTGATCAGATCTGAGAGTGCTAAACTGGTGGCTTCTTGAAGCACAATTTAGAACTTTTCCTTGCAAAGTAGGTTTCTTGTGAAGACCTGCAGAAAGCGAAGATCATGGTAATTCTTGATCTGATCTGAACATTGATATCATATAGTTTGATCTCTAGAACTGAGCAATTTGTAGAATTGACCAATAACAACAAAGAAAGATAAGATGAAACTTGGACTGAATTGTCAGAAGCAGTGACAGGAAATTAAGGATGGACAGAGTAGTTATAAATAATGTTCGTTGTCTTCATGTGGTGTCACCGCTCTCGTTTTTATATGAATTTAGTCAATATTGTGCATTTATTGTGATGGAAATTTCTATCTGTCCACTTGATATTTCTCATCAGTCGAGATCAGAAATCATCACATCATGCAGGCTTGAATAATGCACCCCAAAGAAACTGGAGGAAGATCTCATGGGGTCTTCGAAACATAGCTGTTAACTTTTGAAGAGGACGTAACTTCAAAATACTTTCCCTACATTTACCCATACGACCTTTTTCTTTGGAAGCTCATGTCATTTGCGTATCCGATGCAGAAATAAGATATATTATAATATATGGATTAGTACACGATTTGGGAGTACTCTAAATCTGTAACTTCATAATGTTAAACAGGGACTTTCTCACATTTAAGATGACTTGCTTTTCTTCTCTTCCTTTTGAGATGGAAGTCTGCATCGGCTGATGAAGAGTTTCCGGCCGCTATAGGTTGAAGGTTTCAACATACCACTATGATCACTTGGCAGGCAAATAATTGCCAAGTGCTTTGGTATGCCCACGTGGTCAGAATCACTTTCTTTGCACATTGTCCTTTCCTATGGGTCTCATATCATGCAATCAAATTATATAGACAACAATATCTATAGCATGTGATCTTTGGCACCAAGGAACTAATATGCTTGCAGCACTTTCTCATGGCACCACTGTTTCCCATACATGGTGCGCTCATCGGCATGGGCGTGGCAACAAGCTCTCTCAACCTTAGCTCGAACATGTAGAAGAAGAAGACAGATAGCTGGTCCCTGTTCATGCTGAGAGAGCAGATGTGGTACGCATGTAAGCTAAGGCAAAGTGTGCATGAGCCTGCTCTCATCTCCAAGGTGGTCCAGGGGCTGCTAAAACTTTATAGCGAGTACCGAGTCTTAAGCATCTGTCTTTTTTAATCTCATGCCCGGCCACTGCTGTCCATGGCTGGACTCGTATCTCTAGATGCCTGCATGCTCTCTCTTTTGGCTGAGCTCAACTACCGCCAACACCACCACATGTTCTTGATGATGACCTCTCCTTGATCCTCAGCGGTGTTTCAGAATGATAGGATCAAACCCTTTCTTACCTTAGCATATATGTGATAGACCTCATTACTTTGCTTTTCTGTCACCTTAGCCCACTTGGATGTTGGGTTATTTCCTTTCACACTTGCAGGCAACATGGCATTATTAACCTATATTGATCGAAGTTGGTTTAAAGTGCTCAGTACTGCACTGCATCAGTCCATCTATATACTTCTTTACTGAATGGATGCTAGCATAGCGCATAGAGAGAGAAGGAGAAACTATGTGGTTCGTACCCTCTCAACATTGATTTGTTTATTGTAAAGGAAGCGGTGTTTCTTTGGTGAGTGGGTGGGTGGGAAGGACGCGGGTAATGCGTGCAAAATGATACGACCAAGGGTTGCATGGGACCACGTAGGTTGAATTTTCCTGTGCATCAGCTAGCAGCGGAACTTCTTCATCACTTTGACCTTATTGATCTACGACAAGGTTGGGACGATAAAGTTTCGTGTGCAGGAGGGAGAAGCAGTAAAATAGACTTGTTGCTGGTTTCTACAGGCCTCGTGTTGTAGAAACCGCTACCTTGTTTCGGTGCACTACAGTTCTGACAGAGCTCACATCCACACGAGGTTTATTGGCAGCGAATGATTGGTTTACACGGAAACAGATCAATGGCTATTTGTGCTGGTGATTTGCCAGAATCCGCCCGTGGGTCGTAGGTTAAAACACGATGGTAATATAGGGTTTTACATCTCATGAAGGATCCTGCAAATGCAAGCTCTCAACGGTGGAAGCTGCTCCGGCAGTGGCCCCGATCTGTCAGGCCTTGATCTGTGTGCCCAATGAGGGTGACAGGGATCTCTCTCGATCAGAGGCAAGGCCGACGTCGCTCCCATCCACGTACATGCGTCCACAGGG